AAGCCACAGCTAAAGCGGTTTCTTTCTGGGGTGATAAAAATGTTTCACAGTTAGGTTACCGGATGGTGCAAAACTAAAGTCACTGAACTGTGAACTTTAAACAGGTAGATTCCATGGTATGTGATTCTGCATCTTTGTAAAGTTAAAGGTAAAATAAGGAGGAGAAAATGAGTTGTTGCACTTCTATTTGAGGTGTCGCCTATACACTGGACTCAGATCTTCTATGACTTAAAAAAGTTCGTGCTTAGATCTAAGGCTAAACAAGAAATTAAAATAGTCACTGAGGGAAGGGATGCCTAGGAAGTAAGGGGGGGGGGGGAAATACATTTAAAGGAAAACTTATGCTCAAAAATTCAACTCCAGTATATACTTCTGATCAAAGGCCTTGGCAAACAATGGAAAAACAAAGCTAAAGGTTCAAAACAAGGTGGTAAACTAGGCAAGTGCATAATAAGCTCAATGAGTCTGACCCTCTCCGATTTAAAGAGTTCTCTCAAAGCCTGAGCAGTAAACCTGCAAAGAAATAGGCAAAGGGCCTCAGGGGGACAACTCCCTAAGCCAGGAGTCATTATCATGCATCTGAAAGAAAGACTCCTTTTGCGAAGATACCCTATTCTTGTCCTGGGGGTCTGAAAGGCCAGGTGCCCCAGCCTCCCCTGCTCGCACCAAGGTGTAAGGAGGGTGGTCCCGCAACCGCAGGGGGTGCAGGACCCACGTCTAGGGAGTGTGCATGCGCCAGAGGAAATCGCGGGGGGCCGACGTGCTCCCCACGGATACTTCTGTCCGCGGCCCCCAGGCTCGCGCAGGGCGCGCCCCTCAACTAACGTCTCGGGCACCTGGGCCGGCGGGGCGCCAACGTCCCCCGCGGTTCCAGCCCCCGGCGCGGCGGGCTCCGCACCCTCGGCCTGGCACGCCCCCCGCGCACTCCTACCTTCTGCCGCCACCATTTCAAAGACATCTGGGTCGCCCATCTTCGCTAGCTCCTTAATGACACTGTAGCCCGAAGGGCAGCGAGTGGCGGAGCGGGAGTGAAAGCGAGCGGATGCAGGGCAGATGCTGAATCTGATCTTGGTCGGCTTGTGCCGCAACAGCGTTTCCGAGCTGGGTTCGTTGCCTAACTTGCCCTCCTCCTCCTCCTCGCTCTGCGTCTGCGTCCTCCGACTGGGGGGCTTCTCCGACCAGGAGTGGTTCTTGCCGGGCTTCTGGGTGGAGCCGGCCTCCGCCTCCCCGTCCTCGGCTCGGGCCTGCGCCTGGCCCTTCACGAAGCGCTGCAGTATCCTCCCGAAGCTCCGGGAGCTCGGCGACTCCCCGGGCTGGGTCTCCAGGAGCTCCGGCCCCTTGTCTGTGGCCACCGCCGGGGCGCTCTCTCCCCGCCCCTGTCCCCGCCTCTGGGCCTCGGGGTCGCCGGCCACCCCGCTCGCGGAGCCCGCCGTCTCCCCGCCCCCTGGGCGGGCCGAGGCCGGGGGCGGCAGCTCCTCGGCTTCATTGCTCCCTTCCTGGCGGAGCTCCGGCTCCCGGGCTTCCCGCCAGCTCTCCGAGCTCGCCGTTTGCGAGCTTCCTCGAGCGGTAGGCTTGATTTTCCAACCTCCCTGGTCCCTTTCCACTGGGTCGGCCCGCAGCTGGGTCTCCCGTCCACTCGGTCCGGCTGGCTCCTCCGATCCCGATGGACCGAGCTCCTTTTCGCCCACGTTGGTCAGGTCCTTCTCCATCTGCGTGGCCGTCCGCCCTCCACAAGGGACACTCGCAGGAAACCTGGTCCATCCCGTTTCGGGAGTTATTTTTTGTCGGATGAGCAAAAGCCCCTCTCCTCTAAAGGGTGACCGTCACCCCTTTAAGGCGGGTGGTCGGCATCTCTGAGATTCCAACAGACCTCACCTTCTTGCCACTGGCGCGTGGGTTTTAACATCTTTTCTTTTCCCCCTCTGCCAAGGCCTGCTTTCCTGACGCCAAATGAAAACTCAGTGCCACTGAGTTGATTCCTATCCTCAGAGACCATGCATCAGGTTTCTGAGGCTGTAAATCTTACCAGGAGGAACCTGTTCCTCTTTCACCCAAAGCAGCTGGTGGGCTCTAGCGGTTAACAGCACATAATGTGCTACGCCTCCAGAGCTCCTTCTGTCTCACGGGGAGAAAAGCAACTCATCCTTTATGTCCTAAATTCAAATCCGTTGCTTGCCTCTAAAAAGTTGGGTGGGCGGGTTTGGTTGGTTTTATTGTTTGGTTTGGGTTTTGTGGTGTTTTTGGTGGTTTTTTTTTTGTTTGTTTTTTATGAGCTTCTGTTTGGTCATATTTAAATTATGATAAAATTCGCTTCTTAAAAACAAGGAACTCATGCAATATTCAAAGTGGGTGACCCTGGAGGACAGTATGCTGAGTGAACTATCTCAGTCAAAAAATGACAAATACTGCATGGTGCCACTGTTGTAGAATGGGACTGACATTAGGGTTGGGGTAAGACTGAGAAAAACTGGATTAATTACATAACTTACTATAATACACTGCATTGAAACAGACGAGGGAGAGAACAGTTTAAAAGCTATATATGATAGGGTGTAAAGGTTATCACAAGAGTCCAGAATTAAGGTTGCGTAGTGGAATGTACTCGGGGCAGTGAGAGGAGTGCAGGGGGATTGTATACCAAAGAAAGAATTTTACTTTTCAAAGAGAGGAGCGAACTGGGGGGCTGGGCAGGGAGAAAAGTGCAACAATGAGTGAATGGAAATCCAAAATCTGTAAATGTTCATTAAAATTAATAAAATAAATTCACTTCTTAGGAATATTGTGGAAAGAGGGCAGCTACTTGTTGGAAGGTGTCATCCAGTGGACCATAACTTAGTGCATCCCTATGAACAACAGATGCAAAGTTTGTCTTATCCTGCCACCATCCTTCGAGTCTCAGCCCACTGTTGCAGTCACTGTCACTCCATCTCATTGTGAATATTTCTCTCTTACGCTTACCCTCTACTTTTCCAAGCACGTTGTTTTTTCCCAAAGATTGGTGCTTCCTGACATAATGTCCAAAGGATGTGAGAAGTTTCATCATTGACACCTCCAAGGAGCACCCTGCTTGCACATCCTTCAAGATAGATCTGTTTAAGATGCTCTGCTGAAGAAGGAGGAACAATCGCCTCCTGTACCAGTCAGATCCAATGTGACGGTACACACACATAAAAAAAAAAAAAGATCTGTTTATTCTTCCAGCAGTTCATGATATATTCGGTCCTCTTCACAAACACAACTCATAAGCGTCAAGGATTCTTCCATCTTGGTATAACCCACATCGCATTGACCTCTCATCTACTATCCAGGGTCTCTTAACTGCCTCGAGAGCTTCAGTCCCAAGCAGAGTCCTCACAGACCTCACTGGATGGTAAATGTGCTATTAGTCAGAACCGACTGGGAGCTGACTGACCCTCCAGCAGGTCTCCAGAGGCTGTAAATCTCGCAGGAGGAGCTTGTCAAGTTGATTCTGTGGTTTTCAGGGTCTTAACAACTGCCAGCTTGAAAATCTGCCAATAAAAACCCTATAGATGATAACTGCGTGAGCTTGTGTGGTGGTTCCACAAACAGCAAGGAAGAAACAAGTAAATGATGGTGAGCAAAGGGTAAGTCTGAGTTTCAGAACCGTGATGGTCCTGAGGAGAGTTAACTATGAGTTCGGGACAGAGATGGAATGACTTGAGAATAAGAGGGAGGTGACCAAAGAAGATTGTACTCTTACCCACTTTTTGATACTACAACTCCCCCGTCCCTTTTTGTTGGTCGCTTAGTGAGTAGGGAGTTACAATGCTAACCCGAAGGCAGTGTCTCGCTGGCGGTTTCAATCCACCAGCTGCCCCATAAGAGAAAGATGGACAGTTTCCTCTCCTGCAATTTACAGTCTCCAAAAATCTGCTGTAGGGTCAGCTATGAGTTGGTTCTGCTTGACAGCAATGAGGTGGGGGTTTTGTTTTCTTGATATAGGATAGGAGCCCTGGTGGTGCTACATGTAAGTGCTTGGCCTTGGTCTCTAAATGAAAGATCAGTTGTTCAAACCCACCAGCAATTTCCAACCGAGAAAGATGTGGGAGTGTGCTTCCATGCAGATTTATAGCCTTGTAGCAACGGGGCAGTTCTACTCTATCCTATAAGGCTATCATGAATCTTGATATATCATTTTTAAATAACTCTGTAGAAAGAGTGCAGCCACCATGGAGCTGACCACATCTGATGTCCACTAACTCAGCAAGGGGAATAGTCCCCACCACAACAACCAAAACACAAAACTGAGTCCTATGTGGTCAGACATGGCCCTAAGCTCCTGTATAGACTTTTTCCAATTCTAACACTGTCCATTCCATGGCTTTTGCTGCTCTGGGTCTGCCTATCTGCTGACCACATTGCACTCACAGAACCATACTTTCCAATCGTAACAGTTATTAAGGAAGCCAATAGGTTGCAATGGAGATTATAAAAGATTTTACAATTCTTAAGCCAGGTCAACTTCTCAAGTATGCCCAAAAGCCAGCCCTTTGACCTTCAGCATAGCAGCTTTAGTGCACTGACACAAAGCTCTCTTAGTCCTGTTTGTTAGTTATGATGTCTGTCCTCAATCCTTCAACAAGCTTAGATGAAAGCTACTGACTCTGATTTTATCTCAAATCAGTCTCTGGTTTTCTACAGCACTCCTCGGATGATTGCTATCTCCACCTTGATCTGTTTCCATCTTATTTAGAAATCTCTGGCCGAAATGGACACATGTTGCATTTCCAGCTCTCTTGCTGATAATGAGATTCTCATTTCCTGCTATGGAACCTGCTCAACTTAAACGTAGTAGAATAACAAGATTCACCAATCCATTTTCATTTGTAGTCTACACACCTTTTTCTATTTTCTTTTTTTCATGATTTATTATTTTATTACATACTTGATTAAGAAAACCAAATCAAACCAACCAGAAGTTCACAAATAACTCATACCTAATTTATCTCAGCTGCAAAAAGTGAGCTGCAGGCAAAGTGTATACAAATATAGATGAGTTGTCTAGCTTTTGTTAACAGTGCAAATGCATGCTTAAAGTCATAATCAATGGGCTAGGAAAGTAATTTTATTTTAAATGAAACAGATGTAATATGATATAATGGAAGATAGAAATACTTTCCATTTTCTTCATGTATATTGTGCATACCAAAGCCATTTTTAGAAAACTCATGACACTACAAAAAGGTGGGGTAATCAATGGTGATTAAGTTTATAAAACACAATGGATGGGAATGATACTATAAAACACAATGTGAATTGAAGAATGTGTAAAACAATATATCGAAATGAAACATGATATATGCAAATTTTATATGCAAACCAATATAAAATAAAATTATATGAAAAAATATTTCACAAGTCTTAATTTTCCACCATACTTGAAATTGCATATATGGGAAGATAGTTAATGTTGATGATATTGCCCAAATTAATGAAATAATTTAATTCTGAATTTGTCAATATTGAACTTTTATGGTAAGTGGAACAGCCATTGTGTTCTTTTGGTAAAAGTTTACTTCTTATTAACAAGTCTTTTTAGATCTTTGATATTTATTACTGAAATATGTTATATTGCTCACCATATATAATTTGAAGATCTGATCATTTCCTAACTCATCTGGCCTTTTGAAAATTGGTCTTTCAGCACACATTTCCAAAAGTATGTATTTATGCTTTTAAAGTAATGAGAGATAAAGGGTAGGTATTTGATGTGAAGAAATTCTATCTTTATGCCCTGAGTACAATTTCAATCTTCGTTCCATATATCCAGTAGCAACTGCTGGAGGTGGTTTTGTTTTCATAGTTGTTATTGTTGTTAGGTCCTATTAAGCCAATTCCAGTTCCAATTCCTTGACTCCCTATGTGTGACAGAATGAAACATTGGCTGGTTGTGCATGTCCTCACAACCACTGCTATGCTGGAACCCATGATTGCGATCATTTTGCCAAACATGTTGTTAATAAGGACCTTTCTCTTTATCACCGGCCCTCTTCTACTTTGCAAACTATGATGTCATTTGTTAGGATCTGATCCTTCCTGATAACATATATGAAAGCTGGAGATGTGTGAAAGTTGAACATGTACAATTGAGCAGCACAGACTTAGACATGTTTTTATTAGGTGGCTGATTGAGTAAGGGGGTCTGGTAGCAGAGTGCATTATGTGTTGTGCTGATAACTGAACAGTCAGGGGTTGGAATCCACTAGTTTTGTGGGAGAAAAAGGAGCATCTCTCTCCATAGATTTACAGACACAGAAACCTGAGAAAGGAATGTAATAACTAGAAATTGATTCAATAGCCACAGTTTGCTGTTGTTGTGTGCCATCATGTTGCCCATGACTCATAACAACACTATGTATAATAGCTCTGAATCCTGTCTTATCCTGAGCCAGTCTGACTCCACACATCTAATCTCATTGCCCCAGTTACTGTGTCTCATCTTGGGCTGTCCCTCCACCTTTCAAAGCATGTCATTCTCCAAGAACTGGTCCCTCATGGCCATGTTCCCAAAGTATGTAAAACAGAGCTTCAAAATCCTTGCCTCCGAAGAGAAACTTGGTTTCACCTTCTCCAAGTCAACTTATTTGTGTTCCTGGATGTCCATGGTATGTTCAATACTCTTCTCCCTCACCACAACTCAAATGCATTAATTCTTCTGTCATCTTTAGTCATTGTCAAGTTATCTGAT